TCTAAAGGAAAAAAATGTGACTAAATAGTTAAAATATGCTCAAAAATGGTTAATCTCACAAGTAGTACCAATTCTTCTTCAATAGTTTTCTATCCTTACAAAAAATATCAAGACTGATATTTTTTGTAAGCTAGCTAGCTATTTGCTGTGATACGGATCATATATGTCATTCACAATAGTGTTAAAAAGACTTAATTTCATGTTGATGAAATTTGCAGAACCCCTTTTACCGTAAAAGGAATAACTTTGTACCATCGGACGTATTTTCTTCATTAAATGGCTTGCAGTGACGTGACCCATGAAGACATTTTGTCCTGATTTGTGTGGTTTTTTTTTTTTTTGCTCCAACGCTCAAAGGGACTCTACTGGCTGCTGCTAATGTAGAAGAGGACATTTCTTTGTTGCGCCTCCTTAGCCTGTCTCCAGTTTGTGTGACTGGTCACAAGTCTTGTCCTGTAATGAAGGGGCTCGGGGGCTGCTGTCATGCCTACTTTAAGTTTTCCTCTCAGAGAGGGGACAAATGAATCGCCACTTGAGTGAAGAAACATTTTTAGGACAAAAATGTGACCATTGATAAAGCACTTCCTAAATCCTGTATTTCACCAAAGAAGCGCAGAAGGGATCTTTATTCTCTTGTGAGTGTTTTCATTTCCAGACGTTAAATAGATTTACAGCTGAGACATATTTTTATGAATCTCATGTTTTCTGTCAAAAGCCTCAGTAAGCAGGCTTGCTCTGCTGTCTGCTGCTGCTGGTGGTCAAATTTAGTGATGCATCATGAAATGGCTATGATTGGCATGTGAAATACCCCCCAAAAAACCCTACTTTTTTTCCCCCATGTTCATTAAAAGCACTGGCACTGAAAAGACCCACTATTGTCTGTAAAGTCATGAACAAAATGGTTTGATTCGAGTTGAATAAGACCTGTTAAAGGTTGGAGTTACAAAGATTCAAAACTCCTACCTACATCAAGGAATCTGCTCCATTTTATTTATTTTTTTGACACTAGCTGTGTTTCCGTTACAAATGTGCGCAAAACTTTGCCAATGATATCGAAAAAACATACTTTTGCGATAGTGGTGTTTCCATTAAATAAGAAATGCAATTAAAATCACACATGAATAAGTTTGTTCATGTGATAAGTCGTTAAGAAACACGCAACATCTTATCCTATATTAAAGCCCCCTTTTGCAAAGTTAGAATTGATTTTAAGCACTTTCTGAAAACTGAGTAATCTTTGCTCCATCACAACTTCCACACTGAAGCATGTTGTTGGCTATGTGTGTTTGCTGAATGGAAAAAGATCAGACTTTTGAGTTTCTCACCTGTAGGCTCTAATAGTTAAACTATTAACATCCAGTACCTTTTCTGCTAATTTGAGCTTACATGAACAGCTCAGAGGTTTTAATTTTCCAGCCTTCTTTAAAATGTATTTTTGCTCTTAGCTTTATACCCCAGTAAAGATTGAAATATGAAACATGTTTTGCTGCTATATTGAGTGACCACCTTGGGGGTTTTATTGTTCCTTTCATTGTTTTAACTGGCAGCGCTCTCATTAGAGGCCTGCTTCCTGTCGGGGTGTGTGTGTGTGTGTGTGTGTGTGGATATAGCTTGTAAAATGTGTAATATAATTTTTCTTTTTTTATGTAGGTGTTTTGTTAAGTACTTTTTATCACTTCAGGATTTTTCCACTTTTAATGCTAAAGAACAGTAGCTGCAAAAATAGTTAAAGGTTTAGAAACAACCTGTTTGCAGAATCCATCACTTTCAAAGCTCTGCTTGGACTCTTGATCAAGAATAAACGCTCTAGAACAGAAATGTGTTTACATGAACAATGACAAAAGCTTAATGTTTTAGTTTAAAGAGGAGAATATAATTAGCACACTGATCTTTTATACATGTAAAACAAATCTCAAGTTCTTGCCACGTTTATATAAAATGATTAATTTTAAATCAAGAACACCTTCCACTTCCTCAGCGGTCACACAGATATTATAATAATAATAATAATAATAATAAAACTCTGTTCTCTTCTGCAGGCCAAACACCGTTCTGAGATTACGATTCAACCACTTTGCCACTGAGTGCAGCTGGGACCATCTCTACGTTTACGACGGTGACTCCATTTACGCGCCGCTGCTCGCTGCTTTCAGGTTGGTGTCAGTCAGTGAGTTAGTAGATCCTTTCTTTATGCTGAAAGTAAGTTTAACTTCAGCATAAATTTAACTGAAGTTAGGTTTAACTTCAGCATAAAGATGTTCAAGTTTTCAGTTTGGGCTGCTTTGCTATCTGAAAACAAAACAATCCTTCTGTAATAATAGGTCAGACAACTCCTATTAGAAGTAGGAAAGTTTTCAAGCACTTTAACAAGTCTAATTAAAAATTTTAGGAGTGCATCAAAAAATCAGCCCAGGTTTCCTTATCTCTGGGTCATGGGCAATTGGTCGATACTTGCGTGAGAAACCAATCTTATCTAAGTCCACAAACACAACAGCCACCCCACTCTTGTCAACTTTGAAACTTTGTCATGATGTATATCGACTTTTCACAGTAACAAAATCAGCATTGGCCAAAATCAGAATTAACAGGTCAGGTTTTTTAAAGATCTGTGATCGGTCAGACAGCTGCAATCGGTGCAGCCCTAAAGATTTAACTTTAGATATTTAGAAATTTGCCAACCTCTGTGGAACCCTTGATATGTAATAACAACACTGAGAAATTACAAATTACTTTATACTGTTTCGTACAAATGAACAAATAAAAAAATTCAGTACGTTTAACTGTAGTGTTCGAACACGGGATGGGTTTCACATAGGCCTACCATGTGAGGAAAGATTTGAAACGTAACTATATGTTTTATTTGTTTGTTTTTTTTTATTCCAGTGGGTTGATTGTTCCGGAGCGATACGGGAATGAGACGGTTCCTGAGGTGGTGTCCCAGTCCGGCTACGCCCTGCTGCACTTCTTCAGTGACGCAGCCTACAACCTGACAGGCTTCAATATTTCATACAGGTGAGCTCTCCTCCACGGTTACCACAATTTATGCATTGTTACATATGCATTTGACTTTATATAGTACACTAGACTGATGATAAATGAATGATTATGTGGTGTCGTCTTATGATGAGTGCAGTCCATTTAGTTTGGGGTCTTAAACTTTGTTGGACTCTTTAATTTCATATTCTCGTATGTTTAGTTTTTTGTCTTTGTGGGAGTTTCAGTCAGGCAAAGCTTTGCCATAAGCCAGTCCATCCTGTGACTAGGCTAGCTACATAGCCATCAAGCTAGCTCACTTGGCATTAAAAAGGCCTTAAATCGTCTTAAATATGTCATCCTAAAGCCTCATAAAAATAGGATGTGTATTTTTTTCTGGTAATGTTTGATTAAAAAAAAAAAACAAAAAAAAAACGGTACATTTTGACAAATGGGGAAAAACAAATCCTTTAGACATCAAATTTGCCTTAGAAAATCCAAAAGCCTTTCAAACCCAAAGCAGAGCCACTGTCCGCTGTTATCATCTCTAAAGAGCACAGCGGCTCCCCTCCCCAGGCTCTTCCCTGATTCGTCGATACCGTTGCCATCGTGATGAGAGTCGGCGCTGGCGGAGAAACACACAATCGGGATGAAGGCGGAGTAGCCAGAACATCAAACCTTTAACCAAAACAGGGAACATGAAAGAATGATGGGAGGGAGGCCCTTTGTGTCTTGAATGCCTGTTCAAGGACAGAAATGAACATCTCACTGTTGTGTCCTGCTTTGATGGCTGAAAGCTTCAGTTTCGATCAAAATGTGACACAACTTAATTTTTTCCTTTGTACATAAACATTCTTTCCTATCAGAAATGTTGTAAATTCTCCATAATTAAAAGAAGTCCTAAGGTTTCTTTTTCCCCAGACTGTTTTGAGTTCTTATGTTGTGTCCTGATATATAATTTTCTAATTGTAAAATTGTAACATTTTCAGAATAATTTTCCTTATCGGAAATTGGCATATTTCCGATAATTGGCATATTTCTTTTCCCAAAAAGAAACATGTTTGTCAATAAAGTTTTGGCACTAGAATGATGTGGATTTTAATTTTAATTTTTTTCGGTCGTATCAAAATTGGTTTATATCACAAAACTGCAATGGAAACACTTTTTTCTATCACACTGGTCACATGATCAACAACGGGATGTTGCTATTGGCACAAACCATGTGGAGGATGATGACAGGAAGTAGAGTGGTCATGGTTTTTTTCTAATGACTTATTTAATGACAAAACATATTCATATGTGATTTTAAATATGGAAATAATTATTATGCCTTTATCATTATATTACTTGAACTACTCAAAACATCAATATTATAGTTTATCACAGTATCTTCTGGGACAATTTATCATCCAGCAAAATTTGTTATTGTGACAGGCTTAACCAAGCCCTGTGTATAGATTCTAAGAATGAATGCATCTGTAATAAAAGCGTTCATCATTCTTTAAGCTGACGCCTTGTGTCTGTCCTTCTCCCCATGTGCGTCTCCATGGTAGGGTCAACACGTGTCCCAACAACTGCTCCGGCCGCGGCGAGTGCCGGGTGGGGAACTCCACCACCTCCGTTTACTGCGAGTGTGAAGCCAACTGGAAGGGGGAAGCCTGCGACATCCCATACTGCCTGGATGACTGCGGTTACCCTGAAAGGGGCCACTGCCAGGGAAAGAGCTGCATCTGCAAAGCCGAATGGCAAGGTAGGCGTTGGTTCTGCCGCGCCGCGTTCTGACATGAAACGTGATGAACCACAGCACTTCCGACGTCGGGTTTTAAATCACTCTGTTCTCAGAAGTGAAACTGAACGGTGGTCAAAAGCCTCACTATGCAGAATTAATATGAGATGTTCATTGAAGCACAGTCTGCCGCTTTTTGGTGTTTGTGATTCTCTCTCATTAGCTGCAGAGTTGTTTTTAGTAAGGGGAAAAAAACTAAAGAGTAGACTTGGACAGCTACACATGAAACGGTGATTCTGTTTCATGTGGAGCTGTTGGATCATGCTAAGAGCCGATAAGAGCTCAGGAGAACTACAAACTTTTCTAACTAGCTTGGTTCTGCTCGGTCTGCGTGTAAAAAATTAATTCTGTGTTTGATGTTTTGGGCTCACACTCACAATTTTAAAAAAGTGTTGCAGAAGCTGCCATGCGATTTGGTAAAGAAAGAAGAAGAATAGTCAACAACAATAGGTATGTTAATAACCAACGAGTTGTGGGATATGAGCACTGCTGGATAGAAATTCTGGGCCAGACTAAATCCTGGAGCATCTCAGTTTGTAGATGCAGGCTGATACAGTCCGATACTGTATCGATACCAATATCGTATCAGGACAACTCTTACAAAACACCCCCACACCATCACCTCCCATTCAAACCATAATGTCTACTATGTGCACAAATAAAGCAGAGAGAGTAAATAAAAACGCAGTGAAGAGATTATACCACTTGTCCAATAAATTATTATTCGATTTGAAATGGATTTGATGCAAGTTGACAAAATGCTGTGAAATAGCCCTTTAGCACATGACTGAGTTTCAAGCCGACTTCCCCATTGTGCCGCTTCCTGATTTGTGTCTAGTGCAAATAAATGTTTTGTGATATGGAGTCTAGAATAATAAACTCCAACTACAGGAATCTGAAAAAGTGCTGAATCTTCAACCTGAAAAATGTGGCGGTGCTAAATTTTCATACAACTCTAGAATAACTATGTTTGTATTAATAGCACTAAGATATAATAATGTTTTATTTAATCTCTCCAGCATCATTATTTCAGCTCTGACTAAATTTGGTGCTTCTGCTATTATCGAAGCTTTTGTTGCCCTGAACATCCACCTGCTCCACTCAGAATGACTTAAACTTTTTGCCCAATCTGCTGCTTCTTGTTTTTTTTTATTTTTATTTCGGTGACATTATTGTGTCCCTGAAGCCGGACCATCTGGCCCTTCCAGCTGCTTTGTTAGCTGCTCCAACAGCTCGGCGGCGCTGCTCTGCATGAACAGACACCACCGCTCAATTTAACCGCACTTATATCAGCAGCTCTGCGTGCTTATTATCTCATTACCAAAAGCTGAGGGAGGTTAGCAACAGACAGCCACTTTCTTTAGCCTTTATTACCTTTGTCATGGGGGGAACTGCAGCCTCTCCTGCTTTTTTTACTGCTGCCTTCAGAGCCATCTCATTTTCTACGCCAACAAGTGCAAATGTGGGCAGATGTCTGTGAAGTGGAGCGGGCCTCATGTCTGATCTTTTTGCTGTGGAAAATGACGGTAGTTTGAAGGACCAGACGCTACAGTTGGTGGTTTTTCTGAAAGAGCTGAAGAGGCAGAACGCCACCAGTGTTTTGGGCCATCAGAGATTAGAGATGAACTCTACCGCAGGCAGCTGATGAGAAACAATCTTTCCGTTTCTCGACTATTGCTAGCTGTTTTAGCAGAAAGGCCGTCTCTCTCTCTCTCTTTTTCTCTCTTCCCCTCATTCTCTGAGGATTCCGGTTTGTGTCGGCCGCATTGTTCTGGTTCATAAACACAGGAAGGCACCTATGATTGCTGCACTCGACCCAACAAGGCAACAGAGTGAATGTAGTTCTTCTGTACATGACTTTAAAATGAAAACCTTAAATGTAAGGATGTACAGCTCTTTAAAGAAAGCTGACCCGCTGATTCTGATTTTGGTGCAAAAAAAATTGGTTTCTCATCTAAATATCAGTTGATCAAAAATCTCCCAAAATGAAGGAAATCTGGTCCAATTTGCATCCAAACTAAAATGTCTATTTAAGCACAAACAGATTCTCTACAAACATATGTTGTCACCTCTAGGCCTGTCGCAATAAATCAATCGTACGAGTCGTATTTGGTATACATAACATTTTTCTAACAACTGAAGATAATTTGGTTAATCAGTAGTCATATAAAATGGCACTATGTGCCTGGAAAACACATACTGCTGCCTTTTTTAATAAGGTGCTTTGGTTCCTTGAGACCAAAATGAATCCCACATCCGAACGCCTGAACACACCATCCCAACAGTGAAACCTGCTGAGCTGAGAAACTCTCTGACTCGTCGGTCCCGTCCCTCCTCAGGTCCGGACTGCTCCGTCTCGGTTCCTGCCAACTCCTCGTTTTGGAGCCGTGAGGAGCACCTGGAGCCCGGCCTGGCCAGGGCGTCCCACAAGGCTGTGGTGGAGCAGGGCGTCATGTGGGTCATCGGAGGCTACGTCTTCAACACGTCCGACTACCACATGGTCAAAGCGTGAGTGGCTCACCTGTTCAGTCTGGGTCCACCGGCTGCATTTCTGGTCCAACTAGATGAGAACATGCTGGTCTGACTGATGGGCTTTAATATTTCTAAAGTGTTTGAGTGCAGCACTAGAGTTCGACTGTTGCAGGGAATCCACACACTGAAAGTTTTACTGAGAAAATAAAGAACATTGAGAGAGTTTTTCTTCCCACACGAGGCTAAAATGAAGTTATTTTTATGAGAACGTTCTTCATCTTAAACACCGCTCTGGAATATCACACCATTTCCTTCAAATCAAAGCTCAGGATTGTTTTAGATTTTTTTTTAAAGCGGCAAAGAAATATGGGAGGGAAATCAGAATATTGGTTTCAGTATTTTTCCAGGACTGAAAAAAGGTTGAAAAAGAAAATAAGAGTTTATTCCCTGTCCCACTGTTTAAATGCTGCTTCCCTTTTTTCCTTCCTTTCTTGCTCCCTTTCCTCTTTTGCTCTTTCTGTCTTTCTCTCATTTGTCCTTCCGTCCTTCTGCTCTACCTCCTTTCTTTCTTCCTCCCTTTCCTTGCGTCTCTTGTCGTCTTGCCTTCGGTCAATCCTCCATTCATTTTATGCTGCGTCCATCCATCCATCCCTTCCTTTCTTCTCTCCTTTCTTTCTTTTTATTTATTGCAAACAAATTTCCTTCCTTCTGTCCTTGCTTTTCCCTCTTTGATGCATCTTTGTGGCTGACCTCCATTTTTCTTGTTCCTCCTCTCTCCCCCTTTTGCCCTTTGCTTCTAGTTTCCTGTTTTTGCAGATTTCACATTGAGTACCCGCAGGGTTTGATGAGTTTGTTTTGCATCATTCAGCCTGCCCTAAGTGTTTTTATGAGAACGGGCCAGCAGGGGGCATCGCAGACAGTCTGAACATCTCTAGTTGTTGTTTCTGCTCCCGCCAGAGACCTGTGGTTCGACCCTTTCCGTCTGTTCTCCTCTGGTAGAAGTGATGACCCTCCTGCAGACACCGCAGATCAACCTGAGCAGCTTTGTTTATTCAACAGAACAAACAAAGGGCTTGGTTTCTCCTCCGTTTTGTTTCCCAACCCGGATGAGTTGCTTTTGAGACAGAGACGTTTTCAAATCTAAACCGAAATCATTTTTCCACTTCTTTCTTTTTTTCTTTTAGTTACAATCTCAGCAGCAATACCTGGCTGACCCTTGACCCCTCCGTCAACACGGTGACCCCTCGATACGGCCACTCGCTCGCTCTTCACGAGGTGGGTGAGAGATCGTCGCCTGTGGCTTTAAGTGTTCCTAAAACTCCATGAATGTTAATTTACATAGTTAATTAGCCTCAAGTTCATGAAGTTTGAAGATGGAGAGAGAAGAGAATCAGTGGCATCCACACCAGAGACAAACACAAAGGTTATCTCAAGGTTCTGTTTCTGGACTCGTGTCTGTGTCTAATGTAGAAATGTTCAGGCTCTGATGTTTTGCTGCAGCATCTTGGGCAACTCCAGTCAGCATGTCTGGATCTGCTGATGGAATAATAAATCATAGTTGTGTCCTGATGTGCAGGACAAGCATATTAATATGTGGTATTTATGAATTAATTGTATCTTTCACTTTAAGAAACACCAAATCTTACCAAGTTATAAGAGTTTGGTCTCGTTTCTAGTGCAGATATCTTGAAATAAGACAAAACTAACATACAAGTAACTTTTCAGCAAGTCAATAATTCCTTAATATTAATTAAAACAGTGTTAGTTCAACTGGCAGATTTTTTTCACTTAATACACGGTCTTGTTACAAGGGAAAAAAAATAAAAAAATCTGAAAGAATCCTTCTTTCTTCCAGGGGAAGATCTACATGTACGGAGGAAAGATCGACTCAACCGGGAATGTGTCGAGCCAGCTGTGGGTTTTCCACATCCAGAACCAGACCTGGGTCCTCCTCAACCCGCGGCCCAAGGACCAGTACGCTGTGGTGGGACATTCGGCCCACATAGTGCCGCCCGCGCAGGAGTGGGACAGTCCCGTCATGCTGGTCCTGTTCGGACATTGTCCTCTTTACGGTTACATCAGCAATGTGCAGGAGTACAACATTGGTGAGTGGCTCCAGCTGCTTTCATGTTCTAAGACATAAGTGTAATTAATCGAATGAATCTCAGTTAATCACTTATTGAAATAACCATCAACTAATTTAGTAATTAATTAATTGCTAACTGGAATATACAGACTCTTAAAAAAAAGGCCAATTTCTGAAAGAATCACACCTTTGAGCAGTAATTAATAAAAAACCGTACATAAGCAATTTTTCTTGTTTGTCTGTAAAAATGTTTTACCCAGAACTCTTCTAGTTTTAGCTTCACCTGGTTCAAATTATGTGACAACAGAGGCGCAAAAAGTGGGTAAGCAGCGTATGCAACGCATAGGGGCGCAGCACCACAGGGGGCGCCAAAACCCCGTCTGGAGGGGGCGACGCGCCGGTCATGTTTTCCCATACAGTTCAGCGCGCCTCGCGCTCCTTCACCTCTCGCACACAACGAGGTACATGTAGCGAATTTTCCACTCCACGTAGCGTTGCCTCGGGGGGGGCTCCGATTTATGTTTTCGCATCCACCTGAATAATGTGCAGTTGCGCCACTGTGTGAAAATCAACAAATATATTGAGCACCTTTTGCAATACAATAATTAAAAAAATATTCAACAAATTAGTATTTTTCTTAACTGCAGATTCAGCCTTTGCAACAAATGGTCAAACGGCCACTAAAAAACGTTGTTGTTGCATTTTAGGCAATAAAAGTTTTTCTTATTCAAAAAGTTGCTGAATTATTTGCTTATTTACATCTTTTGATATATTCCTAATATTTTGTGTGAGATAAAGGTTAAGTGGTTAAATGAAAATCTGCAGAATGTGGCAAATTTTTGATTTGATTAATCGTCAGAATAATCGATAAAATTTTACAGAAATGATTGTTGGTAGCAGCCAAGCTAAAGTGTTTGGCTGGCGGGAAACTTGACCTCAGTTAGAGATCCTGATGCCTCCTCAGAGCTGATCTCCCTGAGAGAACGGGACGAATGAACCTTTGGCTTCGGCCAATTGCTAATAAAGTGGAAGTAATTAAAATGTTGTTTCCCTAGTGATCGATAACCAAACGTTGTTGCGAGCTGAATAATAACTTGAACCGTCCTCTGAGTCTCTTCCAGTCCGACTAATGAAACACTGCATAAACTAAGCTGAGTCCCGCAGTTCAGAAAGCTTCAGTCTAAACCAGAAACACTGACCCATCCCCCGTCTTGGCTCCTTTTGTTTTTTTTTTCTTCTTTTTTTTTTTTTTGCGCCCTTCTTTGGCTGAGGGATCTCATTACGTTTCAACAACATAAGGCAGCTTTCCTTCCAGTTCCTCACCGACTCTGTTGTGTGACCTTCCAGTGAAGAACACGTGGAGCATGGTGAGTACAGACGGAGCGCTGGTCCAAGGCGGCTACGGCCACAGCAGCGTGTTTGACCCCAGCACCAGAGCCATCTACATCCACGGAGGCTACAAGGCCTTCAGCGCCAACAAGTACGGGCTGGCGGGAGACTTGTACAAGTTTGAGGTGGACAAACGGAAATGGTAAGTCTTTTCTTTTAAACCCTTAAAAAAAATAGGAGTAAGTGTGGAAGTCGATAGAAAAGTCAGCTGTGGTCCAAACCACCATCTCCGTGTTGTTGCTCAGGACCATTCTGAGAGACAGTGGCTTCTTCCGCTACCTTCACACGGCGGTCATAGTGAGCGGCGCCATGCTGGTGTTTGGAGGAAACACGCACAACGACACGTCTATGAGCCACGGCGCCAAGTGCTTCTCCTCGGACTTCCTGGCCTACAGTTTGGGTAAGTAACACCCACACAGATGTATCGGCACCCCTATTTGTCATCTTTCCATTTATATCATGAGACTTTACTAGGAAATTGTGATGAGCTTTAAAAGCCATGCAAGAATCTCACGCTCTTCTACAGATGAATCTCAACTAGGCCTTTTAGACAACCTAAACATCTGCGTACTGTAATTTCTGGACTATTGGGAGAACCTGAATAAAAGCCACACCCACAAAGAAAGAAAATAATAAAGAGAAGGAAAATTGTACATGAATAGATCACACTTTTCTATAAGCTGCAGGTATCCACATTGTAACATGAGATATTTGCATAAAGATTTTTATTTTAACTATTAATGAAATTAATTTTGTAAATGCTTTTCCCCATCTGTGCCTGCAACTCGTTTGCCTACCAGGAAAAGTCTTTCATCATTATTTTTATCTCCTTCCTGTGCACTAATTTCACTAAAGTAATAAATCAAGTATATTCAAATTGCACAAATCCCAGCTCTGAGGGACGTCCTGCCTGCAGTACTGCGTTGCGACAGCAGAGGGCAACGAGGCAGTTCAAAGTACTTTACCTGATAAAAACACAAGAATAAAAAGTCATAAACACCATAAACCACTAACACAACATTTTGTCGAATACCACCATCCGAATCATCAATACACATCAAATATGTTGGTCAATGTTCCAGTGACTCTAAATAGATGGGTTTTTAGCTTTTATTTAAAGGAACTCAGTGTTTCAGAAGTTTTGCAGTTTTCTGGAAGTTTGTTCCAGATTTGTGACACATAGAAGCTGAAAGCTGCTTCTCCACGCCTGGTTCTGGTTCTGGTTCTGGGGATGCAGCATAGAACCAGAAGACCTGAGAGGTCCTGAAGGTTGACACAACAGCAGCAGATCTTTAATGTATGCTGGTCTGAAGCTGTTCAGGGATTTCTAAGTCATATTCTTTAGTTTTGGAATTGAACAGCCTCATTCACATTTCCTCAGTCCTCCTTTTGTTGTTGCTCTCACTATCACTGTTGTCTTGACACAAATTTGCCCTTGAGCTTCTGCTGTCCTCTGACCACTGCCCAGAGGTCCATCGTTTCATATCGGCCACATTTCCATGTTCAAAGCGTGTGAAAAAGTAGCGGCGACCAGAAAATTATGGTAATTAGTATTGTTTATCATTTCAAGCAGCGGTGGGTACCACTAACTAAAAATTTAATTGTAACTATAGTCATTGGTTCCACTAATGCTAAAGCGCTAGCATTAGCAGAAGCTAGAGCTAAAGCGTTTACTTCAATTCAGATTTTCACTCTGCTTGAAAACCGCAGCCTTCAAGCACTGATTTAATGTTGACATTATAATTTACATGCTCTATAATGCCTTTAGATAATGTGTTTATTTCCTGCTCACTACCGTTTGTGTCCTATTTTATGTTCATCTGTTTCTTGTTTGAAAGAAAGTTATTTGGGGTAAAAAGAAAAGAGAATGTGACGCTAACTACTTATAACTTTCTTAACCGTCGATGACCAAAACTTCAGCACAGATGTCGGATTTGATTCAACTGAAAGTTTACAAAACCGCTGAGTAAAATTAGAATTTATCCAGTAGAAATAATTTGGGGGAAGCTAAGTTTACCAAATGTTTTCAGTTAGCAAAAACGCTAAAGCGCTCAACAAAAAAAAATTAGCACATTTCCTGTTCACCCATTTGCCTGTGTTTTAATCATTTAGCTGAGTTGAGACGAGACGGGATAATTTCTAATCATTTCATACATTTCTACAAAGACCTGATCTTGACTTCTTGCCAAATAGCTCAATCATTCTAATCTGACTTTAAAACCCTTCTCCTGAAAGCAGAAATGAACTTTTTAGTTTGAGTCCTAATACCAACTATCATACCGTCTACCCACCAACCAGTTGTTTTGACCTCTATTTTGTTCGACCATCACACATATAAATGTGCTAAGGTTGCTAAACGCTATGCTGACTTGAGGATTAAATAAGTAAACTAATAGGTTGTTTATATTATTATGCTCCAAAGAAGCTTGCTCAAACGGCTAAATGTTCTTCCTATGGGTTTATTTCTAGCCTTTTCACAGACGGCTATAGCAATAGTTGGCAGTTTAGCGTGATCCAAACTTTCCACAGTAAGTGATTCTCATTATTTTATCAGCCTACAAACGTTGTAGGTTGAGTTGGCCTCGTTCTGCCGCGCTGTCATAAATGGCTCGTTAATTGGAGGCCGGAGGCTCCTGGGACGTCGGCCAGATTTCCCCAGAGGCTGCAGCGCGCCCTCGGGAAGTCCAGGCTTTTTCTGTGTCGTTAGAAGGTTTGACTGACAACCAGTGCAGTTTGAATCTGACCGTCCTCTCTCATCTGGGCCGCCACTCGCCACTGAAACTTCCTAGAGGAACTGTGACTTCTGCTTCTCTACGGGTGGGGGAATCATTTAATGACTCTGTAACGAGTTTAATATTTGTCATGACCCTTAACTTTTTGTTCCCACTCTCCATCTCCCACTCAACTATATATATATATATATATATATATATATATATATATATGAGAGAGAGAGAGTTGTTGGCCGCACCACCTTTGGTAATTGTTGGGTAATTACATTTGAGATGGGCCAAGTCTAGAGAGCTAATTCCCCCTCCCCTCCCCCCACTTTTAACAAGCTGAACTCAATTAAAGGCTAGAATTTACAGGCCTCTCCGTGTCCTGACATTGTCTGCTGCTGCTGCTGTAATGGATCCCAGCTCTGAGGGACGTTGCTCTGTCCCTTCTGCAGTACCGCGTTGCGACAGCAGGTGGCACTGGCTGTTCGTGGACGTGGAGCCCTCTCTCCTCTGGGAGGCCATGATGACTTGTGCTCACAGAGTGATGGATGACATGCTGTGAGTGTGAGCCAGTGTTCTGCTGCTGTTCCCAGTTGCTACTGGGTTGTTCAGAACCTGACAACATGGAGTCTTTGAGCTTTTTCAGGGTTTTCTTTTCCTGCAAAACATGATTTGCACTCATTTTTCAAGATGTCAGCCATCACTATCTACAATAACTCTTTGAGGAATTTGAGTTCATATGAGTTACAACAATATCTAATTTCCCTTTGGATCAATAAAGTAGTTTCAAATTAGAATTTAATTTAATTTAATTTAATCTGCTCTGACCTGTTGCTATTCTGCTGGGGAAAAAAACGGCCTAAAACCTGGTGGATAAATATGGAAACTGTCCACAAAAATCTTATTGACCAAATCTCTGTTTACATTACTTTGCAAAAGTATTCACACCCCTTGAATGTATTCGTATTTTGTTGTCACAGCCGCAAATTTGATTGCATTTTTTATTTTATTTTATTTTATTTTTTTATTTTAGATGATGGAGATCAGTTTAGATCTAAACTCATTCAGAGGCAAGTAAAAAAGTACAATTTTATTTGTGTAGCACAATATCAGATAGACCACAAGGTAGATCACAAAGTGCTTCACAAAAGCAAAACAATTAAAACAAGACAAAAAAACAAAACAAAACAAAAAAAAAAACGTTAAGCAAAAACTTGTGTGAATAAAAATATCTGTAGTTTCTTAAGAGTACTTTTTCAAAAAGGATGTTTCAAAGCCTCGGCGTCACTGCCATTTAACAGACACGACGGCTCAAAGTCCAGACCTAAATTCAGGGAAGAAGTTGTGGCAAGTCTTAAACATTAGTGTTGGGATACATTTACAATCCAAAGGGCTGTTTTTGCCCTCAATTAAGGTAAATGAAACTCGTTTAGCAGCGCAAATGTTTCATTAACTCTTTGAAAAAAACTTCAATTTTTTTTTTTTTCAGCTGATATTTCTGAACGATGCATTTTCAAAGAGCCATCTTCCTCACCTCATAGACTTGTTCTCGCAGGATGTTGGCTGAAACCTCTCTCAGTGTCTTGAACACATTTATCCATCGTTGTTAGGAATAAATTCAGTCCTTTCCTCCTGCACTGTCATCTTTATTCTGTCGTTAACCTCTCGACTTCCCTTCATGGACACTTTGCTCTTTTTTTTAATTTCCATTTGACTCCAGGAGAAGACTTGCTAAAGGTCTCTCCTAACCACCCGAGGCGCATCCTCCCGCCTCAGGAAACGTGCGATTGAACATGTGAAAGTGGGCCGTCGCTCTGACCTCTGCTTCTTCCTCTTCTTGTTTCAGCCTGCGACGAGTGGACGGTGCTGCCCCAACCGGACCTCCACCATGACGTGAACCGCTTCGGACACTCCGCCGTCTTCAGCGACAGGTATGTCTTCATTATGACAAATAAGAAAAGAAAAATAATAATGTTTTTATTTAACACCATTACTTATTAAAGCTGAAACATGTAATTTTAATAAAACATGTATTTTTTACATGTTTGTTGAAACTGCCACCATGTCGTGACAGAAACAGGTAATCTGTGAAAAAATCAAGCTAATCTGCCTTCTGCTAGTGCACTTAGTCCTGATTGTCTATAAACAACCAATCAGAGGCAGAAGGAGGGACTTGGCGCTGTCGGTCTCTGCAGAGAGCCACACGGGGGCGACTGTGGCTCTGTGGGTCTTATGATTGGAAGGTTGTAGGTTCGATTCCAGCTGCCTCCTGCCACATTTAGCTAGCATAGCCTGTTGTAAATGCTAAGGCCGGTCAACATAGTCACAGATAACGAGTAATATACCATTTTCTTGTAAGTGGTTTCTCTGCCAATAGCACATTTAGCAGCGAGTACATTAGGATGATTGATAGCGCCAAGACTCTCCTCTTGGCTCTGATTGGTTGATTTTGGTGCATGTCTTTAGATCAATGGTTCTTAACCTGGGTTCGATCGAACCCCAGGGGTTCGATGAGTCGGTCTCAGGGGTTCGGCGGAGCCTCTGCCGTGGAGGTAAAGACACACTTATATAAAGTCGTGATGACGCGCCCCACTTTACCATCACTTGCTGCAGAGGATCACGTTACATTGCTTAGCCAATCAGAGCTGCGGAGGAGCACTGATTGAAGGAGTTCCACTCTCAGCACAGATTTGAACTTGTGTCTTTAATTACTTCAGTAAAGCTCACCGTTTAAATCTGCTCCTTAGTCACATCTTTTTGTGGTTGGTACTGCCTCGAGTGGCGTGGGGGTGGTAATACAACTCATATAATTACATTACTAAACCAGAATACCGCAAATTATTTTCTGTGTCGGGGGGGAGAGGGATCGGTGAATGCGCATATGAAACTGGGGGGTTCGAGGTTAAGAACCACTGCTTTAGATGTCAGTAACAGCTCAGGGAGATGGAGGAGAAGATCAATCTTTTCACAGACTGTCTCACGTTATACTGTCATAATGTGGTAACAGTTTTAACAAGTGTTTTAAAAATATATTTTTTATGTAAAAGTTCCATACTGCAGCTTTAACTCATTTCAAGAAGAGCAAACCTGCTCTGATCCCTTCTTGTTGATTTTCACTCTTGTAAGTGCATCGGCACAAAGTATTTAAAGATGTATTCACTCTACATTTTGGCAAACAATATTCAATAAATTCAAGGCAGCATCTCAAACAGAAAACATGTTTGTATCCAGAAAAAAAGGCAGAAGTGTGCATGTCATTTGGAACGCATCACAAAATGAACACGACTTTGTGATCATTTGGAGCCAAAATAACTCAATTTATTAGCCATCCTGATGAGGAGTTATTTTGAAACGGTATGTGAGGAGAAGCGGTGGGAATGTGACGGGCATGGTGCTGAGTCCTAAAACAATGACTCCAGGATTGTCTGACAGACTGCCAGCCACATTGAATTATACATCCTGTTGCAGAGAACGCATCAAATATTAACACGAATCCCCAGCTGTGTTCCAGTCACTCCTTCAAATGTGTCTGCACCTCCAGGTGGTGGTAAACTACTTTAGCTGATCACATTGTCACAGTAAGAAAGTGAAGACGGAAACAAGTTGAAAAAACCGAAGATAAAAGTAGCTGCGCAGGATATATGGATTAATAAACGTCACCTGAAAGTCATAAAGGAGAAACTTATTGTTTAAGGAGTCAATATGTGAATTTTTATGCAGTGTAGCAGCAGAGCAGGCAGTGTTTGGGGTTTGATTCCCAACATCAGGGCTCTGCCCGTTTCCTGTCTGAAACACTTCAAATAAACACCAATAGTGCCACAATATCATTGGAAAAAATGCATATATACAAATTTATATCAATTTATATCACTTTCAATGTCATTTCCTAGATGTATAATCACAATAATAAGAATAATCACAGTAACAGTTGACATCCTATTGGTTGGTGGTTTCATACAAGCAAATTATTAATTTTCCTTGTTTTACGATTGGCTGTGCACTGCAAAAACACTAAATCTTACCAGATATGTTTTGTCTAGTTTCTACTGCAAATTTGTCAGCATAAATAATAATAATTAACAGTGCAGGAAGGGGCAAAAGCCTGATAGACTTGTATAAAACCTTCATCCAAATTGTGTAGATTAAAAACTAATATAATCCTACAATAATCCTCCATCAGTTGATCATAAATTGAGAAATTCAATCAAATAGAATAAAATGCACATAAAAGCACAAATAAAAAGTATTAATGGAAATTTAAATAAAATGTGTAACAATGTAGAAAGCAACCATCACCATTCTTTAATTAAGTTTTAAGTTTTAAATAACCTTTAAACTCTTTTACAGCTCCTATATCTTGTTGAAAAGTTACTTAAAAGTTATTTTTGTCTGGACCATTTTACAGTAAGGCTCCCCTTATGGATGGCTAATAAGTAGTTTACATGTGTGTTATCAATTCATCTATAAACACTTTATATCATTAATAACTGTTTCTTATGCATTAGGTGTGAGAAGGAGACTGTATGCTAAAAAAAGAAGTTTACAAATTGTACCTGTAAGAAAGTCTGAAATGTTTAGTACAACAACTATAGATAAAATATGTATGTGAACAGATTTGGCTCAGTATGTGCCTTCTCCTCCTCATCCTTAATTAATGCATGCATAATACACAGTTATTATGATGTATAAAGTGTCTAGAGATGAATTAATAACATATCCATGTAGTGTACAAAGAAATTAGACAAAAACAACTTGGTCAAATTTTCCTGCTCTTCTACCGATGAGGCAGAATAAAGACCAGAAGGCCGACATGTTCACTAACAGCAGGGTCATCGTTCAGGTCACCTCCTCTAGAGGGCACTAGCTGGTTATTATCTGGGCTCATAAGGAGGAAGATGAAGGATCGCTAAATCTGGACCTTTCCTGGCTCACCTCTCCTTGTTCCCTTCTGCCCCCCCGTCCTGCAGCGTCATGTACGTGTTTGGGGGCTTCAACAGCCTGCTGCTGAGCGACATCCTGACGTACACCTCGCCCAGCTGCTCGGCCTTCTCCAGCCCGTCGTCCTGCAGCCAGGCCTGGCCCGGGATCCACTGTGTGTGGAACGGCAGCCTGGGGGCGTGCCTGCCGTGGGAGGGCAACAGCTCCAGTGCCGAGCTGCAACAGCAGCAGCCGCAGCAGCAGCAGCAGCTCCCGGCCTACTGCAACACCAGATCATGTAGGAGCAACCAGGTTTTCTGTATTTTGTTGGACACGTCAAACAGGACAGGAGATGATCCAGAGGGACAGCTTAGCTGCATTTTCTCTGCTTTGTTAAGCTTGCCGTTTGTCAAAAAAGATAAGTAAATTAAAAAAATCTCCATCCTCTGCCTCTACTGGAGGTTTATTTTAAATGACAGTGGCACTGAGAAGATCTTAAAGGGGCAGGATTATGTAAAATTAACTTTTTTGAGCTTTATATCATGTTATAATGTTATTCCCTCATCAAAAACATACCTGGGGGGTTATTTTGATTCTTTCATGCATATTTGAGAAATTCTTTAATTTCCATGGCAAGCTATGTAAAATGCCTGGGTGGCCCTAGCTCCGCCTTCAAGAATGAAACGCCTCCTCTGAGCTGCAGTTTCCAAGCCTCTGCCTCCCAGAGCGCCACTTCCCCACTCAGCTCCTTCAGACTAGCAACCAGCAATTAGCAAAAACCTGGTGGGACTGCACATCAGCTGTTCCATATAAGAGCTACGTTTCAGTGAAATGCTGTTAAAAAATGTTGTTGAAAGGTTAATAGAGGAGCCATGTTGTGACGACACATACACACCACACTTTTCAGATTCTTTGCAAAAGAAAAATTCAAGCCATGTACACCTCACTAAAGAACTATCTTGTGTTCTTTTATCAGTTGAAACTTAAATTATTAATCGCATTCAACTGGATTTGAGAGGAAATTTCTAAGATTCAAATTAAAAATGTTATCTCTCAACTGGAAGTGAAGTATTGCTTTAGATCTGCTTTTGGCTGCAACAAAAATAAACATAGCTGTTTTTTTAAGATATTCATTTTACTTTATCTTTATATCTCTCTTTTCTTCAATAAAGTCTTATCTCCATAGCAACAGAAGCAGTGATGTGTCTAACTGTTGCAGATGCCGATAATGAGAGGTGTGAGCAGTACACAGACTGCTACAGCTGCACGGCCAACACAAACAGCTGCCAGTGGTGTTCAGGCCAGTGTGTGTCTCTGGGAAGTAACTGTACCGCTGCTACGGTATGAAAACACACACATGCGAATGCGATTGCATACATACACGTGCATGCACACCCATACAGAGACACACACACGCACGCACGCACACGCATGCACACACACACACACACACACACACACACACACAGAGTCGTGTTTTCATGTCTTGTGGGGACTTTACATCAGGGGTCTCCAAGTCCAGTCCTCAAGGGCTACAGCTTGAGGACTGTAGCCCATCCTGCAACTTTTGGATGCGTCTCTGCCCAAACACACCTGGATCAAATAAAGTGCTCGTTACCAGCTCATTTCAGAGCTGAATGAATGCTGGTGAGGTAACCTTAACCTTATATAAAACTTAATTCACATCGCACCTCTAAACATAGTAGAGCTCCAGTAAAACTGCAAGAAATGAGCTCCTCACCTTCCACAAATGACTTCCTTTTGTTGGTAAAACTGGTGAAAGTGGTCCTCTGTATATATTACATACGTATTATACACTACTACTGAGGAAAAGCCCTAACCACAGCATGCTGCTGCCACCACCATGTGTTCAGGATAGGGCTGAAACGATTCCTCGAATGATTC